TTTTACCTGAGAGGAGATAGAAGACAGATTTTGGTGATCTGTTTGATAGCAGTTATGGTAATTTTTATCATCTTGGTTGTCGGTGTCTGCACCTGCTGTCAGTAAGTATTTTTGAACTTAATTTTAAATAAATCTAATAGATTGTCTCTTGTTCATTACTTTCTTTCCTTTCTTCTTTATTTCTTCCTATCTATGCTTTTTCTTCTGCTTTGATTTAAATAAATCTATTAATACTCTTTGGGGGTTGCATCATTGATATTGAAGTATTTATAATAAAACACATAACACATGATTTTATCACTCTACTAAACACAATTATATTTTAAAATAGAATTTCTATAAATCTAGTTATGAAAAGGCAATCATTTAGTTCTAAAGTCAATTCCATTTTGAGTTTATTAATAGGCTAAATAAGACTTATTTTTTAAAAGTGTACTATGACAAAATGATGTTGAAGGGTAGAAACAAACAAAAACTTTTTTTTTTTGCTTGGTCACGCTAAAATAATAAATTCTATGTGCAAACCATGATTACGCTGTTTTTCTTGTCTTTTACTTTTCATTATGTACCCTAATTTTGGAAATCAAGAAACACCCTGCTTTTGTCTGAGGCAGAGTGTCTTGGCACACTTCTGATTGAGTTAGTTTCTTTTGAAAACCTACCAAATTCTTTTTTCCTTTTTTTCTGGTCAGAGCAGGACTACCACTTGGCATGCTAAAGAGGTATTTTATTAAAGTGCTGTCTTCTTGTCTTGAAAAGCTTGCTCAGCTTCCTAAACTTTTGCATCTACTTCTGCCCTGGGGTCCACCCCAAAAGACGATGTCTCTTGATTCTTTGTTTTAACAGAGTGGTGTTAGGGAGAAAATCACTAGCACAGAGGGAGTCTTCAATTTTTGTCCCAGCCTCTGCCGTTATGTATCTTTGAAAACCTGAAAACGTTTCTTAACGTCTTTAAACTATAATTTTATTGTTTGTGAAACAGGAGTATTAAACCAGATAATCTGTAGGATTCCTTCTAGCAATACAATTAAAAGATATTTTTTATTTTGCCTACTTTGTGGTAGGAAGGAATATTTATAATGTCAGATCTGGGGCAGAGAATCAGTTAAATGAAGCTGGGAAATGATCCATTTTGTTACATTAACTTTGAACTGCACTTTAAGAAAACTGGGCTGTAGTCCAGAATATCTGATACATTTCTTAATTAATGTATCTAGAAGCTTACTTAATATATCCAGTGGCTACCATCATGTTCTTGGTTTTCTTTTGCCTGTTTCCAATTTGTTTACGTGCTAAATAATACCCATCCATCTTTTTGTAAGATGACGTGGCCTGAAACATTTTCTTGTACTAACGAAGTTCCATCAATGATCAGGTGTTTCTATTTAGATAACTAAATTCTACCCACACTGTTGATTATTGTAGCTATTATTTGAGCCTAGAGAAAGAGGTGGGTTAAAAGAGAACCCAAAATATTTAAGAAAAAAAAAGGGGCCTATGCATTTTTAACAGCCTGGAAATAAAATTACAGACTTTCTTGATGAATAATTTAGTGTTCACATGAGCTAACAGGCCCATACTAATTTCTAACCCGTTATTTTCTAAGTCCTCTTCGGAAACGTCGTAAAAGAAAGAAGAAGGAAGAAGAAATGGAAACTCTGGGCAAAGATATAACTCCTATAAATGAAGATGTTCAAGAAACTAATATTGCTTAACGGTAAGTGGGATAAACTTGGTAGATGAGAAACTATTCAGGTGACATTTAACTGGTGAGATGGGGCTGAATTGTACCTAATACATCATCGGTTGGAATTTGATTATGTTCAAAAACATCTAAAAATAAATCGATGGTTTTTCACAGAATCTGAAGCCAAATAAAAGACTTTCTCATCTTTCTTTTGCTTGTTACCACAGAGATAGGCATTTGATTCTGTGTGGTTGTGGTGATTACTTTATAATTTTTTCTTTCTTATTTTTGGGCACAGAGAAGAGATAGTTTAACTCAGTCATCTTACATTGAAGGAAAATGACAATAGCAACGTTTTAACAATAACTACGTTTATTGAGCATTTACCATATGCTAAGCACTGTTCTGAGCTCTTTCAATGTTATTAATATATCAGGGTCCAAGTGGGAATCACAAATCCTCTTACATGATTCAATAAAGAGATTTTGACGAGGGGACAGCAAGGGGGGTGGTTGAAGGGAACCCACAAGGAATGTTGAGGGTCCCTGAGCCTGGCCATGATGGGGAGCTGCTACCCTTCTTGTGCTTGGAAGGGTCAGGGGTACGCGTTACCGGAGCACTCAGCGGAGTGCCAAGGGAGAGCTCCCCAGGCAGGAGAAAATAGCGTCTGCTAGAACCTAATCAAGGATGGGGGGAGCAAATAGGGGAAACACCCCAAACTCTGTCTCTTTCTGCCTCTGGGTCTTGAGCAGGTGTCTCCTGCTAGCTAAACCCAACCAGAAACCAGAGGGCATTGGAGCCCTGGTAATGCAATCTTTGGTGACCAGCCCCCTAGAGACAGAGCAGGGCAGAAAAAGGTTCCAAGGGATAACACGGGGCATAACTGGCACAATCAAGCAGGATGGGTTTGTTGTAATAACATCAAACCCCACTCAAACTACCTTAAAACTAAAGCAACGTATTGGCTCACATGAATGGCAGTCCAGAGGTAAGGTGGGTTACACACGTGGTCAAACCAGAAGCTCACACTTAAGGAAACAGATTTTCTCTCTTTCTGCTCACTGTTCAAAGAGCTGGCTTCATCCTTGGTCAGTTTCTCTTAAGTCATAGGCGAGGCCAGCCGCGATCAGTGCTGCAAGCTTTCCTGTTCACACATCTGGCATGAGAGAGTGGTGACTTTCTGTGGCTCTCTCAGCTGTGCAAAGATTCTCCTTTCCCAGAAAATCCCAGCAACTTAATGGGGTACTGTAAATGCTTGTCAAAAAATTACAGTGCTCTACTAACTTATTATGAGGACAACAATAATGAATTGAAAACAAAAATGCTGGTTCTGGATTTTATTATTATTATTGTTTCATAATACACTTCTTTTAAATGATCTGCTGTTATTTTCTTCATTCCCACAGCTACGAAGGTACCTCCAGGTTGGTGGCAACCTGCAAAACGCCTTGCTCATTTGAAGATGGACAGAACGTGTCTCAGGAAAACAGCTAGTAGCAATGAATTTTAAATAATGTATTTACTTTTTATTTGTAACTTCA